GAAAAGGTAATCAATTTCTTTTGTTTATTCTGAATTAATCCAAAACACGCGTTGGCGTTAATTTGTTTGAAAGCCAAGCAGCTAATTATTTATCGTCGTTAAATTTTAATGATTTAATTGTATTAATGAGTATTTGGTCTATATCTATTTTTGTTTTCAGGCGCCAATCCCGTGGCGCGCCATTCTTACATCCGTACCGGTGTGGTTGAATATCTTCGCACAATGGGGAGGAATTTGGGGACTCTTCACGACAATGACACATACCCCGACCTATTTCAACGTCATCCATGGACTTAATATTCGAGCGGTGACTTGCTTTTTTAAAAATACCTACAAATCTCATCGTTTTCCACTTCGGTATTTTGACTGTGCAACGTTTATTTGATTGTTTTTCTTAGACTGGTTTCCTCTCTGGCCTTCCACACATTTTGCGCACGATTTTCGCGTATATCTTCTCGCAATTCGGAGACTATTTGCTCAAAGCCAACAAAATGACCAGGACAAACGTGCGAAAATTGGCAGTAGCCATATGTAAGTGAAAGAAACATTTATTCAACGCAAAAAAGTAATTTTTCTAGAAAACAATGTTTTCTAATATAGGTTGTGGGGTGCAGGGAATTTGCATGTTAGCACTTGCATTTGCCGGATGTGACTACATCGCCGCCATTATCTTCCTGACCGGAGCAACGACAAGTCACGGCAGTGTTTCTACTGGCTCAATGGCAAGCTTTGTCGACTTGAGTCCAAATTATGCAAGTGAGTAACAATCTATGATTTCAAAAGCCACTTTAAACTGAATGAAGTTGAGTGCTCTTCTTATTTTCTCAATTTGTTCTGCGCATCCTTGTGGTTTTCTCCCACGGTCTCGAGCTTTTGCCATTTACAGTTTGCATAGTAAACAAAACACATACGTGCAGCTCGCATTATGTAATATGCGTGAATACGTGAATTGCGTTGAAATGAATAGGATGTAGTACATGTGCCGCCGTCATGTTATGTAATTGCGTCGCTTGTATGCTGCAAAGAACCCAGCGAAATGTATTTACATGCGAGATGCAACCAAGCAAGCCAACCACTTGTTTCCACCTGTTCTAATATAAAACATAATAACTAAATACAATTTTTACTATATTATTTTATAATATGATATAAATTGTTGTTAAAAATACGAGTACAACGACGAGTTCAGTCGAGTTCAAGTTTGTTTTGCTCCAGT